AGGGCTGCAAAGCAATCTGTTCTGGGCACTTTAATTGGAAATTAGGTGCCAAAGCCAACATATTTGTGAGGAATTCTGTATCTTCTGGTGCTTCATCTGTCTTCTCACTGAAATTGTAGATACTCTATTTATATCCCATTGTATTTTGGGACATGGGTGTGGTTATGTTGCCTCAGGTGACAACGTTGGTGAAAAAGCAAATAGTAAGGGAATAGGTAGAATATTTAACTTGGTTTTTCTGTTTTCTGACTCCAGCTGCAGTTTTCTTGATTGTAAAAAATGCAGCAATAACATAATGCTACATCAATTTCTTTAACTAAATAGAAAATAATAATTTAATATTCTAGATATGTAAAAATTATTTTTATATGTATTTCTTGGTATGAGTTCTCACAGTTCCAAAGTACAAGTAGTTCAGAAACATCAGGTTGGTGTATGGAGTCCTAATATACTGAATGAATAGAATAGTCTGTGTCCTGTTTACCATCTCTCTGGACTTAAATTTCGTCAAAATGTACTTTTAGGCAGCTACAGTGAGAATAAAGAAACTGGAAGAAAACATTGAAGCAGAGAGAGCAGCACATTTGGAATCCAAATTTAATTCAGAGATCATCCAGGTAAACTTTTTGTTAACTATTATGTACAAGTTTACAGTAAAACAGTTGAAGAAGTTGTAAAGATACAATCTTCCAAAAATGTTAAGACTACTTACTTGCTTCAGTGAAAACACTGGATAGTTTTTTTGCAACAAGTGTCAAAATTGTAATAGCAGATACATAAAATGAGACAATAGAAAAACACCTGCTTTTCAGGGAAAATTGAAGTTATTAGAATAAATAATAAAATAAAATGTCACATTTGTAAGTTTGAGAATTCCCACTAGTATTTAAACTGTGAGGGGAAAGGAAATGTTTCACAATAGTTAAAGACTATACTACTGTTTAAATATTCTGCCCTGTATCTTTTGAATGGACACTTAAAGTTATTTGGAGAAACAGTGCATACATCCAACTTCTCTAGGAGAGAGAGTGAGAGCTTAATGCATCCTGAAACTGCAGTTCCAAATATAATTATTCAGAGTACATTTCAGCTTCAAAAAAAGTTATGATATGTGCTGTTACCAGTAAAGATTGATTATATGAAAAAATCTAGTATATATACTTGCATATTAAATCTTTGTATTATTAAACTGTAGTACATGGGGTTTGACCCAGTAAGGCAATTATGGTTTATTTTAAAAAGCAAGCGAGAAAAAGCTGAATCACGATTGCTTAGTAATCTCGTACTAACTAACAAGCCCTTCACACTGGACTTTTGAAAAACTAACCAAAAAAAAAAAAGGAATTTCGGTATCTTTTTTTTTAATTTATTTTCTGAATAACAAAAATAAGTACAGCCATTCTTCAGCCAGTTATTTTCTTATTTTCATGATCTTCTCTATGTACAGGCACTTAAATTTTTTAAAGTGACAATTAAACTAGTAGAAGGGAAAGATTTAGTTTTCTTAATTTCCTCTCTCTACTTCTACAACATAAAAAGGAACTGGGAGGGTAACATTCCTTAAAGTTAGAGACTTATGGGTGAATGACTGGTAAGGTTTTCTTCCTTGTTCATATACATGAACAAGCTTCAAGTGTGCTTTGTGCTCAGTGGAAGTGTAACCTGTACTGTTAATCCCACACTTTCATGAGTCTACTTAAAAAATAGAATTCCCCTGTAAAACTTTAGTAATAACTGAAAAAGGAAAAATCCAGACACCACCAAAGGAGAATAAAAGGTGCTTTTGGTCAACGTATCTATTTGTCTCTGTTTTGAACTGTATATATTAATACATTTTTACATGTGTTCAATATTTCTGTGTGTATACTTCCATATAGAATTAATAGAATATAGTTACCTGTGAAGCAGAACAGAACATAGATCAGCATTAAAGATCATGATAGTTTTTCCTAACTTGCTTTCTTATTAATTGCTTTCTTATCACTTGGTAGTTAAGAATTCGAGACCTTGAAGGAGCTTTGCAGGTGGAAAAAGCCAGCCAAGCAGAGGCTCTTTCGGATTTAGAAATGATCAAGAAAGAGTTCAAAGAGGTAGAAAATGCATATGAGAGAGAAAAACGCAATGCCCAAGAGAACTTGGAAAAACTCAATGTGTAAGTTACGTTTTAAATTAATTGTAAAATGGCAGTAGTTAGCTTGAGTACCACTTATAGTTTACATTCTCTATAGTTTTCAGACACTAGAAAACAACACAATCTGATGCAATTTGCCAAACCAACCCAAGGTTCAGAACCTGGGATTCTATTAATAACAGGTCCGTATCAATAATCGTACATATTATGGGTAGGTAGAGAAAATAACCAATCTGTTATAAATTTTTTACAAAGCAAAAATGTTGAAAATAATAGTTATGATAGGGTCCTGTCTCCAGTAGTGTTTGGGAGAAGTGTAGGAAAACATACGTGGCAGGTTTATAACAGATTTTTTTTCTGTATTCACTTACATTATTATGAAAACATTACTTTTCGCTTCAGGGAGCTAGATGAATCTTTAAGACTTCTGTCTAGAAGTTGTGTATAATTTATAGTGGATAATCTTCATTTTCAGCTTTGAATAATTGTGGAAAGTTTTAACTTGGTAACGAAAAATATAAAAAGGGGTGAAGTGTGTGAGAGTAGACGAAATTACTTGGGATTCTTTTCCTGCTCAGCACAATCTGCTGTGTCTGTGGTAACAGACAGTTTCTGGAAGAGTGGCTTTGTTATATTCCCCAGGCAGATATAGGATGCACAGTACTGAGTCTTCTTCCCTGGCTGGATTGAGTATATATTGGGGTGAGAAAATGACAGGAAGAATGGTGTTGGAAGACAGAGAACTGAGGAGTAGGTGAAATAAAGGATAGTAGTGGGAAAGAAGAGGTTTAAGAAGACTTAAAGTGGGTGGCACACAGTGGGGGTGTGGGAAGAGACTCAAGCTAGTAGAATGGGTTGGAAAAAGACAGAGGTGGCATCTCTTTCAGTTTAGGATTATATGGGTCTGCACATACAGGTATTTATGTTGACTTATTCACACAAGCAATAGTGTAGAACAAAAGAAACTGCTTTTCCCACAAGTAAGGAAGTTTGTGTGCCTGAAAGAGTCTTTCTATATGCATGGTTACAGAGATGTTTTTAATAACACAACTGAAGCCTGTGCTGTATTATAAACACCTTAGAGCTCTTCATTAAAATAAGGCCAAAAGAAGTCTGAATATAAGATTGTGCATTTAGGTAAACCAGAGTCATATTAAAAAATTAAAGCTTTTTTCCTCAAAGAAAAGGAAATAATTTTTATTTTAAAAATTTGTGAAAATGTGTGAAATACATTATGATAGTAGTCTAATGTGATGCTTCAGGAAGACTGCAGTCTTCAGAGCTGGGAAACTGAATAAATATATTTCAAGATTCTCTATGGTCCTAAAATAACATCAGTTAATTAAACTGTAATCTCATCCTGCCTGGTTGTTTTTGCTTTGAGCATGAGTTCTACAGCAGCAACAAGCAACATGCCTACCATAGCATGGCTTTCTGTAATCAGCTGGGGAGCTGTAACCTTCCAAGAATCTCCAGATACCATTTACTCCTTCCTTCTGGAAGTTTCGGGAATTTTTCTCCTGTTGTTTCTGTCCAAGCTCAAAAACTAGCCCTTGAATTGTACAAGCAGCTCATGTTTGTGCTTATATCTGTTATTACGTCCCTTGCATTCTTAGAGGAAACAAGCGTGTCTGACTTGTAGCTTTTGCTTCTGAAGTTCAAGGTAATGAGATTAACGAACCACAGATACTGTGAAATCTAAGGGTGCAGTCAGTCCATCTGGGGAATTAATAGACTTGTAGAAATTATACCTATGACTTTTGAAAGTACTTAGCTTTTGAAATGCTGAACTGCACTGTTTTTTATCTTTATAGCTCTTAAGAAAAAGAATGTGAGTCTGAACACGTGGGTCATGTTCGGCTTTGATGTAGTCACAAATAAAAGGTTAAAATTACAGAAGATTGCTTGTTCTGATTTTATTATTTGATGTGAAATAAACGTGGAGTCATGAATTCTGCATAAATAAATTTTAAAAAGACAATAACATATTTAAGTGTTACACATGCCCAAAAATGTAAACCACACATCATGCAAACATACTAGGTCCTGAAAGGAGTGTTAATGCTTTTACACTGGGAGTCACTTATCAGTAAAACAATTTGATTCTCAGGGTTTCTAGTGTGTTTGGCATTTTAATGCTTTTATTTGTCTATCTTCGGTTGTTCTTTTTAACTTTCATCACACCTGTTCTCTCAGTTACTCCTCTCTATTTTAGGAAATTCTTATTTTCATATTGCTACAAGATGTTTTATCTTAGGTATCTGTGCTCAGTAATAATTTTCAGTACAAGATTCTCTCATTAAGATTCCTTTTGGCCCCACAGAAAGCTCATAAAATATGAGTTCCTCACCTACATTTTTTAGAACAATTTGGTTGTTTGATTTCATCATGCTAGATCCCAGTCCCTCAAAGTGGTATGCATGTGCACTTAAGTTTCCTTAACAGAGTTTGTCAGAACATTTCATTCTGTGAATTATATTAGTTTCTCAGATGACCAAAGACCTTTTATCTCAAGAAGTAGTCTTAAGTGGAGTACTGCGTGCACATGGAACTGAACTGCTGTCCAGTTATTACCATGTGGAGCTGCACTATCACTTTAGGCATTGAACGTGAGCGCTCTTTCACAATTCTGTATTTTTTCTAGACGCTTAGAAGTTGCAGATTACACTCCACTAAGTTAGTGACAGAAATGTGAGTCTTTAAGGCCTGAATTATTCTATTATTAGTATGAATATGTTCTCAGAATCAAGGGATGGTAATAGAGATAAAATGTAAGCTAATTAGAAGCATTTTTGATGGTTTAAACATCTGTTTAGGAATTTTCCAAACCATTAGAACTTTATAAATTTTACCACAAGATCTATTTTTTACATTTTAAATTAGTAATGTTAGTTAAAAATTGTGAAAATCCATAAGTAGTAATTTTCCAACTAAGTCTTTGAGAAACTCTTAAAGATACTTTTCTGTATTAGATTACTCAGACCGGCGTAAGGATAAGGGTTAAATATTGAATTACATTGCTGCATTCAGTAATGTTTTTTTCCTTGTGAGAATCTTTTATCTAGATGTATGAAGCTATTTCTTTGAGAAGCGAAGGTTTTTGTGCTTAGAGTAGTTCTGGTCCATGAAAATTACATTTTGGAAAAATGGGACGAACTCTAAAACAAAAACCTTATTCTAAAAAAAAAACAAAACCAAACCAGACTTGTTTTTTAGGGACTATATTTCTTTGTCTGGAATTGCTGTAGGAAATACCTGAATATATGTATTTGTTGGGACTAAGACTAGGAAATACAGTTCTTACAGTTATGGTACAAGTTGCATTAGGAACTTCAATATTAGCAGAGAAGTAAGTACTTGTGTTACTAAAATGCAACAAGAACCTTAAACAGCCTTCCCCTTTTCCTCTAAACTGGATAATTCTGTTCAACAAGTTCTTTCCCAGGAAAGCAGGTTTGTCCTGTTTTGGGGCAAAAAGAATTTGTGCCTACCTAAAGCACAACTCTGTGTGTTAACTGGATATCAGAATAAACTTTGTCTAATACCCAAACAGTACTTTCCACTACTTGTAATCATCTGTTGATTCAGGCAATTACTCCTAGCAACTTCTGCCAACTGAGTTTCTTGAAAACAAATTATCTTCTGTGATTTCAGAGAATGCAAACTTTTCCATGAAAGTTAACACAGTTAAACAGTTGGTGGTTTTGTTAATAGAGGTTGAAGAAACAGAAACAGCCTATCGTTACAATTTTGTTAGTCCAGACACCCAAATTTCCAGAACTCCATAAAGATAGGTAATAAAGGTCAAGCTTTATCTCAGATGGATATCAATACTCAGTTCCCTTGAGGTAATTACAGGGGGTGGGCATATACTGCCACGTCTGTTTCCTGTTCCTTTTTTTATTCTTTGAAGCATGTAGTATTGGTAACATTGGTGAATATCAGTGATTGCTTTCACCAGATCCCTTCAGAGAGAATAAAAGAGCCTTTGATCTACTTACCTTTGAAGGCTGTGGTCCTTGGACTCCAGACAATATCAGGAGTTTGGCTGTTTCTTTTAAGCCATGATTTGGCTTCCTAACATATTCTTCCTTTTTCTGGAGGAGTCCCACGAGTTTGTCTTTAAGCCTTAGTTTTTGCAAAGTGTTGGAGACTTCATTTGTGGTGCTAGAACACTTGTATGTCTTTTTAGCTGGACTTGATGTAGGATAAATTATACCAAATTTGGAAGCCATACAAAGTGGTGAGAATATATTTTCTCAGAAAAAGATGGTTGTAGTAACTGAAACCAAGCAAACAGGCTTTTCTGGGTTGCATAATTTATTAATTAGCTCTGAACCCAGTAGCACTATGTAAATTGGAAGCAACGTGGGATTTGGGTCTCTGTGTGAATTTACTTTTCTTGAAGAGTGAGAGCATGGTATAGAATAAATTGGAACTACTTCTGCTGTGTTTCTGAAAGCTGTGGGAGTAGAAGCTACTTTAGGGGACTGAAACAGGCAAGTTCTTTCTCTAAGAATAACAAGTAACCATCTACAGCTAAAAGAAAAAAAAATCAGCCAGGCTGAAGCAGCAGCACATAGATATTTGAAGGACTGATAAAGTAGTCCTTCAGCTAAAAAGATACATTGATCTGTAAGAAATAAGTCGAAGTCATGAAATGACAATATTGACTCAAAAGTTTTAAAGTTGGCAGAACTTTGAGCCCTTTGCATTACTTTCAATTCTAGTGAGACAGAAGTGATAGGAGACAAAGAAATGAGAGACACCTGGATGTTCCCACTGCTAAGAGTTACATCAAAGGATAGTTCAGGTTGAAAGGGGTTGCAGGAGATCTATAGTCCAACATTCTGCTGAAACCAGGAAGCTATGAGATCAGGTTGCTCAGGGCTTCATCCAGTTAGGTCTTGAAAACCTCCAAGAATGGAAATGGCACAACTTCTCTGGGAACCTGTTCCGCTGTTTGACTGTCATGAAGGTGGAAAAAATTTCTCCTTGTCTGAACCTTTTTGAATTTGATTTGTGACTATTGTCTCTTGTCCTCTAGCCATACATTGCTATGAAGTGACTGGCTGCATCTTCTTGATAACCTCCTTTTAGATATTGGGGCCCCTGTTCTATACCCTGAAGTTATCACTTCTCCAGCCTGAACATACCAAGTTCCCTCAGTTCTTACATGTACTTCAGCACCCGACCATGTTGGTGACCCTCCCCTGAGCTCACTCCAACTTTTTTCCTGTGTTACAGGGGAGATGTGTGCTTACAAGTGGTCATTATCCTGGATGTGTTGTAATGAGTGCCAAATAAAAGGTGATTAATCACTTCCCTTGATCTTCTGGCTATGCTACTGCTAATACAGCCCAGGATGCTGTTAGCTATCTCTACTTGTATGCCATAGTGCTGATTTGTGGCTAGCTTGCTGTCTACCAAGATTACCAGGTCCTTTTTGAGCGTAGCTGCTCCGCAGCCAGTTACCGACCATATCGCTTCAGGAGGCTTTTGCTTTCTGAATTCAGATCTTTGCACGTGTCATTGTTGAATCTCAGAAGGTTCATGCTGGCCTGTTCCTCCTCCCTGTCTAGGTTCTAGGGAATGGCAGCCCTTCTCTTGAGTGTATCCATTGCGTTGTGTTATGACCTACCCCCACCCAGTTCACTGTTATCTGCAAACTTAGTGAGACTGCACTCTGGGCCTAATCCAGGTGATGGATAAAGATGTTAAACAGATTCTAATACAGACTCCTACAGTATTCCACTTGTTCCCAGCCACTACCATCTGAGCTTTACCATCAAACCATTTTTATCAGTGTTGTAGTTCACATATCTAGACTGAAATCCTAACTTGGGTATAAAAATACTGTGTGAGACAGTGCCAAAAGCCTTGCTAAAGTTGAGTTGTATTTAATCTACTTGCTCTCCTTTTGTCCACAGATCTGGTCATTTTATCATGGAATGTTACTGGGTTGGCCAGACATGATTTAGTCTTGGTAAATCCTCACTGACTGTTCTCCGTCACCTTTTTCTCTTTCATGAACCCAGAACTCTGTTCCAAGAGGACTTGCTTCATGACCTTCCTGGGACTGAAATGAAGCTAACTGGTCTATAGTTCCTTGGCTTGTCCTTTTGCCCTTTTCTGAGTATAGGTGTGACATTTGCTTTTCTCCACTTGCCAGTGACCTCCCCAGTCTCTGTGACCTTTCAAAGATGATAATGAGCAGCCTTGCTGTGACATTGGCCAGCTTTGTCAGAACCTTTGAGTGTAGGTGAGCTGGGCTCTTCAATTTCTATGGGTTGAATTCTTACAAGTAATCCCAGACTCAAGCCTCACCTGCTGCTAGTAACTGTTGTCCTCTTTGAGCCCTTTTACTGATAATAGAGGCTTGGGAGACCTTGTCAGGGAAGACTGAGGCAAAAAAGGCATTGAGTGTGGTGACCTTTTCTGTGTCCACTGTTGATAAATTACCTGGTCTGTGTAGAAGCAGGTCCATGTTTTCTTTTCTACCTTAATGTAGTGGTAAAATCTCTTGTTGTCTCTGTCATCCTTTGCAAACATCAATTCTAGGTGAGCTTTTGGCTTTCCTGACACCATGCCTACATACTCAGGCAATCTTTCTAAATTCTTCCTTGCATTCCAGTCCCTGCTTCTGTCTTCTGTATGCTGTTGTTTGGCCTTGTAGCTTTCTCATGAGTTGCCTGTTTAGCCATGCCAGGCTCTTTATATATCTCTTTTCCTGAGTACCACGAGGACTGAAATAGTACAAGAACTGTTTGAAATTTTGGGAACAGTCTGCTGGTGGAAAAATTTGAAGTCACGCCATTCTGAGTAGAATATAGTTAGGTATGTGGAAACTTTAGGAGCAAGCTTCATACTTGAAGTCAGGGTTGATTATACGAGATGTGACATGGTCTTTCTGAAGAGAGCTATTGTGTTAACTAAAATATGATGAGTTCTGTTTATTATATGTAATTTGGAAGCCATATCCAAATGACCAAATGAATTATAACTGGAAGCCTAAAACAAGCAGTGGTAACTGAAAAGAATATAACTACTTCTTGAAAAGCCTTTCTTAGAAGGAATATATAACTTTCTTCAGTTAAAAAAAAAAAAGCTACTTCAGAAGCCATATGATGTGCCAATATGATATGTGTCATATCCACTGATTATCTTTAAAAGTATGTAGTATACTTGACAAAAGTATTTTTGATAAAAATGCTGTAATGATGAAATTTTCCAGATTAGAAAGAGAGTGTTTCTGCACAAACAAGCAAATGAATGAGAAGATTGAGGAAAAGAAGAAGATAATTAAAGACCTCTCCGAGAGACTAGAGAATAACGAAAAAACCTGCAGAGAATTACAGGAGGAACTTGCAACGGTAAGACAAAAGGCCTGTGGCACTCATTGTCTAGGGTTTTTTAAACATACTGTGAACATAATCTGCATTTGCGGTGCTGAGCTGTGGAATAACGGCATTGTGTTACTCTGATTTTACTTATATTACTTTGTTTTGTAAAACATGAGTAAATATAGCTAATACACTGGAGAAGCTAATTCAAAAATGAATTTTAAGTGATACACCATGTATTTAACTGAAGAGTTATTTACAGAAAATAATTATTTTAGAAGTGTGGCTGCGAGTAAAGAGTAACTTGTGTTTGCATTCCTAACGAAGAAGGCAGTTTCTAGATATGGATTATGATTCCTTGTTGTTGTGGTTTAACCTGGAAGGCAGCCAAACACCACACAGCCACTCGCTCACTCCCCCTGCTCTCGGGGAGACAATTGGGGGGAAACAAAAAAAAATTTGTGGATTGAGATAAAGACAGTTTAATAGAACAGGAAGGGAAGGGAAAATGATAATAACAATAACAACAATAATGATAGAATATACAAAATGAGTGATGCACAATGCAATTGCTTACCACCTGCCGAGCAATGCCCAAACAGCGATTGCTACTTCCTGGACCACACCTCTTATTTATATACTGAGCATGATGTCATATGGCATGGAATATCCTATTGACCAGTTGGGTCAGCTGTCCTGGCTATGCTCCCTCCCAGCTTCTTGTGCACCTGGCAGAGCACGGGAAGCTGAAAAGTCCTTGAGTAGTGTAAACACTACTTAGCATCTAAACTAAAAACATCAGTGTGTTATCAACATTCTTCTCATATTAAATCCAAAACACAGCACTAGGAAGAAATTTAACTCTATCCCAGCCAAAACCAGGAGACTTGTGGAGAATGTTCCATCTTTCTACCCAAGCTTTTTTCTCCAAGCGTTATTAGCTACCATTGTAAGCTTGTTTATTTCTATTTCACACAACATTTTGTTTTTAGTGCAAACATTTGACTGTAAAAATTGCTTGAAGATTGCTTGTTTGAAGGTGACAAAGCAGAGGGAATTTTGTTTTGTTTTGTTTTGGTGTGCATTTGGCATGTTGGATGTGTTTTACTGGATTATTTTCTGAAATCTTTCTCCTTTATATGACCAACTGGGACCTTCCCACTGGCTCTACCCACCTCAACTTTGAATAACAATTTTGCCATCCTGTTGCATAGCAGCAGGGACAAAGCAAAGATCTTAGGATATCTAGGAAACCTGCTCTCCTTCCATTGTGTAGTAGCATTTGCAGTATTTCTATATTTAGCCAATGTAAACGTTTTTTGATACTGCTTTGCAAATTTCTCCTCTTTCTCTCCCTTGGAGCTGTGCATATGGAAGGTAAATGTGGTCTGTTCCCTGCTGCTGACAGGCAGTGACTAGGAGCAGAGACCCGCATCAGAGGATCTTCAGACTTGTTGGTGTCTTCTGTTCAGTTGATGGAGTTATTCCATACATTGTCTTAGTGTTACCCACTTCCCAGACAGATAAATTGAAGAAAAATCAAATCTAAACCCCCTCTTCCTTCTGACAGAATCACAGCTTCTTCCATGCAAGCATTAATGTATTTATTAAAAGGCATTTGCTGGCCTAGTTAACCTGAAGAAGTAATCTTATCAGGCACAAAAGGAATAAGAAGAGACAAAAGCAACTGTCTCCCCTAACTACAGTCAGTAATGATTGCTATTTATGAATATAAAATACAATTCAAAGCTGAAAAATTTATCCTAAGAACCTTGAGTGCTTGCTAGCTATCGCTGTGATGTGAATTTTCTTTTTCATTTTGTGTTCCTTAGTAAAATATATGTTATAGCTGCCAAGAATTTAGGGCAAAATTCTATTCATGATCAAGGTTTCTGGTAATGGCAACAGTATTAAATGGTGTACTCAAAATGAACATTACATTACTGAAAGGTAAAAAGCAGAATGGATTGTCTCAGTTAAAAGAACTGTCTTATTCATAGAGCTGGTTGTTTTAATTGTTTTACTGGAACGATTTCAAACCACAAGACTGTCTTGAACAGGTAATAAAAATACTCATTTTCTGAGCAGTTGTATTAGTGGTCCCCTATGGGATTAGATTTTTATCACCTTGGATGGCTTCGTATTTTTCCTGAAGACTTTTGTATTTGTTTGGGAAGGAGGAGTGCCTGTGTGTGGTCTGGTTTACTCAGTTTGGACAGCTTTTTGTTATTTTTCTTCCCAAAATGAAAAAGCAGAAGACTCTAGCAGAAACTAAGTATAGATAACATTTCAGATACTGTTATTAGGCTTCCCTATACCCATACTAAAATTGTGTGAAAATGGCAGTGTGTTCTCTTCCCTTCACTTCCCCCTCCTGCTTTCTTGATCTATTCATTACTTTCTTATATTTTATACTGTTGTTAGACATCCTGAATGTGTCTTTTCCACTCCAGCCTGATAATCTTATATTGGTTTCTCACTGTACTGCTATAATGCAAGTTAATGTTTTTGTTTGTAAAATATTTGGGAAATATAACCAAACCAGTGAAGGCTCTTTGTTTTTGGAAAAGCAGACTTATGCAGGGGCGAAATGCATTCTCTGGAAACTTTATATGAAAAAGAACTTTTTTTTTTATGGCTCAGTTGAATGTATAGTAAAGTAGTTATGCTGCTTTTAATTTTAAATATCAGCATGTGGCAGAAGTTTGCCAGAAATTTGCATGGATCAAATGTGATAGGATCTGTTGGTATCAAACAAAACTGCTTATGAATGTTCAGCATGAGCAGGCTCTGAAGATTTCCATTATGTTTTTCTGAGGAAATTGGTCTCAAGCTTGTCATTATTTCCAGCTAGGGTTTTTAGAAATTTTTAGCTTGAAGAATAGGAATTTGGAAGAACGGCCATTGTGATTCAGAACTTGTTTTAAATTGAAACAGCCCCAGCTGTATTCCTGCCCCATGGAAAGAATAAGAGGTATCTTTAATAGTTTTAAAAGTTACTCAGGATATTTACATTTCTGGCACTTAGTAGTGGATGATCTTTAATTCTTAGTACCGGACAAGCGGGAGACGTTGAACCTTTTATTTTATGGGAAATATATATTGAAATTTGGGGAACTTGCCAATTCACCAGAATGCATATTAGGAAACTGAAGTCATTAAAAATAGTGTATTTTAGTATCAATTCCTTTAATTTGGAAGAACTGTGTATTCATTTCCTCCCCTTTGTATAGATACTATCAAGAGTAGCATAATTAGTGTATAAGTAGTGTAATAGATTACACCCAGAGCATGTCTTTTTCCGTGTGGCATATAAATCTTTCTCTTATAGGCACGCGTGCAGTCATGCGCAGTATACATCTTGGCTGTCTGTAATAGCCTTGTAGGTTATTGTAAGCTGAAAGTCAGAACAGAAGTGTTTGAGAATCTAGTTCCTAGACATAGGCATTAACCGTTGTTCTTTAACAGAAGTGTCTTAAGTATTGACTGAACAGACAATGAAACACCCTGAAGATTATGATTCTGCTCTACAAACTCGATGAAGTAGAATCTGGTACTGAATGGCAAAGGTGTAAGTCTCATCTAGACGATTCATTGTGAACAGAGCTTTTTCTTTCAATTTAAAAAAACTGAGACACAGTCTTCATTAATTTTGTGCTAATGATTGTTAAATGTTATGTTACCTTGATTCTTGTTTTGCTTGCCTTAACTCAGGGGTGGTGTGTTTCTACCCTGATGCTACTTCTGTTATTGTCCTAATTTAAGACCGATCAGTCTGAAGCATACGCTTAAATGATCTTCTACAAAGAAACCAATTTTGTAATTTATTCTGGAAGTGGAGAGCTCACTCAAGCTGTGATGTCTCAGTGTTTGAAGACAGGCATCTAAAAAATGCTTTTAAAGTTGCCAGTTTTTGAAAAATTTTCTCGAACTAAAAAAAAACAAACCCAAAAACCCAAAGAGATACTTCATAACATTGTCTCCCACCAAAAGTTTGTTACAAATCTCTCTTTAGGGGACTAGAATTGTTCCATGTAAAACTTGAGCTTTTTGATTAATTTTATTTCAGGTGATTAAAACTGAGACACTAAATTTCTTGAGAAATTGTATTTAATTTACACATGGCTAGACACTCTTTAAAGACCCCTCCATAGGGGAGGGGTCTTTGGAAAATGCTAGCTAATATAAGAAAATAAAGAAACCCTATTAAGTATTCGATAGTTAGATAACTTGAGCAAAAATAAGTAGTAGCCTAAGGAGGGAGATTGTCAGTGAGGGTTTTGTTTTGTTTTTTATACTGCAATTTATGCTTGGTTGTTTAAAATTTGTGCCCCTGTTCTGCCATACAGAACATCACCCAAGTAAACCCATTTTTTGTTAACTGTGGAGCAGTCATTTGGAGCCTATTTCTATAAATGCTTTGATTTAGTTCCTCCAAGGGCATGCCTGCTAAACATTCTTTTGTAAAGAATTTACCCAAATGCTTTTCAAGGACTATCTGAATATACTGCTTTTTGGTGGCTGTGTAGATAGTTCTGGCTGTGGCACTTGCTCTGCCATCACCAGGTGGGATTTGTACTGCGGACCGAGTGGGTGAATTTGTCCATGTGCAAGAAAGCGACACAGGAAAATCCCTGTAACTACAAACAAAGTGGAGAGAATTCCTCTTGGAATAATGGGAGTTCGTTGCAGCACTGGACCCCAGTTCCCTGCATAATACTACTGGGGTTTTGATAAGTTAAGTTTGAAAAGGCCTCAAACTCCTGCCTACATGTTTATTTTTTAAACGTTATTGAACCTGAGATACAGATGCATATTTGCAGCATCAGGTGGGCTATTCTGGAAGTGAGTGTAGAGTTTGCATTTATTTTATTCAACAATGGCTTTTTGAAAATGCTGAAAAATCAATGGGACTTCATTTCTGTCCTGGAACAGGTGATGGAATGATACCAAAATCGAATACTGGTAGTTAAGGAAAATATCTCTGCAACTAAGGTACTAGGGTATTGCCAAGATAAATGCAAATACCCTACTTCTGGAAGATTAGCATAATTCTGACAGTGGGTGGAATAATTTTTATAAGTAGTAGGTTTTCCTAATAATTCTGGTTATCCTTACAGGTAAGGATACAAAGCATTTGGAAAAAAGATTTTCTCCCAGTTGGAGGCTACAGTTACACGTAATGAAAAATACTTGGCTTCTATTTAATTTCTTTAAAATTGCGGTTGTGTTTTAAAATTGATGGTTAAGTAAATATGTTGCCAAACACATTTTTCTACCAAAAATTCTTTTGTCCTCAAGGGATGTTTTGTGATAATAGGAGCCTTCTTAAGGATATGAAGTTTGACTTGGGGAAGCATTGTATATGCCACAATTCAACATATATTTTGGGTTCAAAAAGTATGGCTTTGCTCTCATATTGATTGGTTTCTAGCCTCCTGAGTATTTTGTGAGGGAGGGAATTGTGTTTGGAGGGCATAGGAAATACTCCTAGTATATTTTGAGAATTTTAAATTCTCAAGTGTTCGTGCAGACTTCACAAGAAGACTTTATCACTGGTTTCAGGGACCTGGGATTCCTGAGGGCAGGTTCTACCAGTAAAGACTGAGGTTAAAAGGCATTGAGAAGGTCTTTTCTGCATCCTAGTCACCAGATCCTCTGCCCCATTCAGCAGCGGGCCCACATTTTGGCTAGTCTTCCTTTTGCTGGTGATGTACTCCACGAAGCCTTTCCTGTTGCCCTTCACGTCCCTTGCCAGATACAACTTTATGTGGATTTTGGCTTTCCTAAGCATATCCCTCGATGCTTGGACAGCATCTCTATATTTCTTCCAGGTCAGCTATGCCTGCCTCCCCTTCCTTTATGTTTCCTATTAATATTTGAATTTAGTCAGGAGCTCCTTGTGCATCCACACAGGCCTCCTGCTGCCTTTGATTTTCAAGGTCGTTTTCAAGGATCACCTCCAAGGTGAAGAATGGTCCATCCCAATGTGCAGGAGTCAAGCAAAGTCAGCAGAAGGCTTACTTTACAAGTGTTCTTTCACCTTTTTCTACTAACATGGTCTGGGAAGCAAATTCTCTTTAAGTAAAAGATTTAGGACTTTGTCACCTGATTTCCCTTTTGAAGTAGTCTAGGGAACACTCTCAACAGTATCCAGTAGTTCTACAGGAATGGCATCCCCTAACACAAATATGATGATGGGTAGAGTTGCTGAGAGGGAAGTAATCTCATCTCCTGGAATAGTTGGATGTGGCAGAAGATGTCTTTCAGCAGCTGCAATTAATTATGTTTGACTTCTATACTTGTGGACTCCATTTTCCTTTTCAAAGTAAAGAGTTGTGTATACTTGCTGTGTTTGTTCAGACTGAAGAAAAGAAAACTAAGGGAGTTATAGCTACTGCTGTGACCTATCAAATGGGTGCTTATGGAGAAGACGGAGCTACACTCTCTTTCGAACTGTGCAGTGAAAGGATGAGAGAAAACAGAAGCTTTAGAGAGGGAAATTCTAATTACCTGTAAGGGGAAAAAAAAACTTCACAGTGAGGATTGTGAGATATTGGAGCAGGTTGCCCGGAGGGATTATTGAAACTCCATCCTTGAGGATACTCAAAACTTGACTGGAGAAGGCTCTGAGCAACCTAACCTGACATGACTCAAAGCATGGCCGTGCTTTGAGTGGGGAGTGGGACCAGATGATGTCCAGAGATCCTGTCAGCTTAAATTATTCCATGATTTTATGACTCTACACATTCTTATTAGATACCTGCCAGTGAACATAAGAAATTAGATCGATATGTTCAGACACTTTTGGACTTTTAACCTGTGCCTGGATTTCCAGCACTGTAGTTTACAGTATTTTTCTTCAATTTCTGAGAATGGGGACAGTGATTGAAAATGGGAGTTAGAAAGTAAAGATACTAAATACTTTGCAGATGAAGTGTGGAGAAACTGGCTAGTCTAAGGAATTTCCTTTTCATCTTTATTGCTGTTAAAAAGAGACTGAAATTGGCTTAGGGAGTGTAGATGCAGTTAGCAAATAAAGCACAGAGAAGTGGTGAAGGCTGAATAGACTGGAATATACTGACTAAATTGTGGTAAATTAACTAAACCAAATGAAAAAATTGGATGAGGAGATTGAAGAAAAATTCTCACATTTGACTTTTCCATGGGAAAAGGTTTTTCTGGGAAGATTTAGTCTGACTTTGTCTATGCTGGAGTGGTTTATGTAAAAAGAGTATTTATTTTATTGTGATGCTGATCATATTGTTCTATTTTCTTATTTGTAATATGTGAGGTCTTTGCGATGATATGAGTACATGAGAGTAAATTATTTTAATGTGTTTGCATTCCATAAAATATTTTGACTGGAGCTCAGCAATTACAAGCTCTATTTATATAGATAATTTTATAGGGTAAGAATTAAAACTTAGCTATTTTTGAATATATAGAAGTGGTTTGGAAATTCTTTATGAAGTGTAGTACAAACTCTCACACAAGGAAAGGCGTGTAAATGCTGCAGGGGACCCAACATTGAAATACACATATGAATAATATATTAGTTGATATACAGTACATATAATTAAAATTGAAAGAGTAAAGCAAATTTATAAAATATTTAAACTGAATAGTGAAGAACACTGCAGAGAATTAAATGCATTTCTTGTTTTTTCAGCCTGACAGTTATATGCTACCAGTATGTAGCAGTTTTCTTGCAGAGGATGTTTCCCAGACTTGAGAAATTGACTGGATCCTTATACATGCAGTGAAGCATAACTAAAGCAATAGTTTATAGATATGATAGAAAACAGTAGGATTTTTCTCAATACAACAAGGATAACCTTCCATCACCAAGTAGAAATGGAAATTACTCAAATAGGTGTTAGAATTTAGAATAAAAATATATTGAGTAATTAAAAGTAATGAGACATCTTTGAGCATAACCTTTGTCATAAGAAAATCGTGAAGTTATTTAAATCTAGTTTCCTCTTGATTTGGGGGGAGGGGTTGTTGGCCTTTTTTGTTTTGTTTTGTTTTGTTTTGTTTGTTTGGGTTTTGGTTTTTTTTTGTTGTGGGTTTTTTTGGTTTTTGGTTTTTTTTTCCACTAACTGCTGAGATGTATTACTTTTTGTCAGTCTGCTAAAATTGTACATTTCTTTGAGAAGTCAGAACTATGTATGTCCAAGAGGACCTTGGTCTTGTCTGGAATTACAGATTCATGTCTTTGAAAATTGCAAGTTTTAATGTCAGATATAAATTGAAGGAACGATTTGATATAGTCTTTCTATTGTAGTGATTAAAAAATCTGCTGTAATACCTTTCTACCCTCAGAATAAAGGCAGTGTCTTCATTTGAACAATAGGCTGCACTTAGTGAACAGCTTTCTTTAAGAAAATTCAGTGATAGGAGCTGAAGGACTCTGCTGCTTTATATTCCATGCATAAGGAGGAATTTTTGATATTGAAGAAATCACTATCAAGCATGGAAGATACTAACAATTGAAGTAGGCAGGTTTGCAATGAGAATAGGTGTGGGATTTGACTGAGTGCCAAATCATGAATTTCTAGCCTGTCTGCCAGTAATTTGGTGTCTTTCTGGATGCCCTTGCAGGGTGTAACAATAGATTTCATTGCTTGCATAGATGGGCAGCAGTTAATGAATGTTCATTAAGATATTTTTAAAGGAGAAGATGATCAAGACTAGGTTTTAGTACAACAACATTTTTTCTTTTTCATTTGACTACCTCAAGCCTTTAGTTCTATTTTAAGTGTGTTTCAGGGTTCTGTGTTACTTATTTGTGATGTCATGTTAGGTCTCTTGGCTCAAGAAAAGGAGTAGTAAGAAATATAGCAGGAATTTAAATTTAAAGAGGAACAAAAATACCATTGTGATCTGTATTTCTTCTGTTTACTATTTTAATGGGTTTCTTTTTTTCCCCTCTTGTCTGTATCTCCTGTCAAATAAAGGCCAAGAAACACCAGGTCTTTCTAACAGAGACGTATGAAAACAACATGAGAGAGCTGGAGTTACTCTTGGACAGCTTTGCTATGTCAGGCCAGCGGACAGCAGGTTAGTTGAAGGTATAAAATGACAGATGCATCTGTCAATGTTCCAAAGTCACTACATTGTGGGAATTCTGCAGATGCCTCTTGCATTCCCTCTTCTCAACATGCTTTGATTTGATGACATGATAAGAGCAGTTCTCACAGCAGTCAAATGGCCTTGCTAGCTGAGAAAGGGTGACGGAATGTGGACCTGCTGTTGTCAGCCCAGAGCTTGATTTACAAATGCTGGGGTGTATATGATCGGTCAGAAAAGGGCTCACTTGCTGTGCTCTAAATCCAACTGAGAAAAAAGTCCTTACAGTATACCTGCAAAGGGAACAGATGTTTTGCCTGAACTGAGCCAAATTCTGAGGCAACCTTCAGCAACTTAAAGGTCATATATTCACAAAGGTTGTGTAGGACACATGATATAATACAATACTTTCTACTGTTGATTGTGGACTAGTACTATATTGCATTCCCTTGATCTAATGCAGAACAAATATTTCTCTGTTTTCATTAAAATTAATTTTAAGTCAGTGGTTGTCACTCTGCTACCTAGCTTTATATGTAATTATTATTTCAAACTCAACAAACTGCTGCCTGTTTAAACATTTGAAATAGTGGCTAACACAGACAAGCTGAACTTTAACATCAAAGCTAGTAATTTTTTTAAAAGTGAAAATAGTACACTTTTAAAAATCTTCATTTAAAACTATCTATAAAAGTTTTCTCTATGTGTTTCCTGTTAGCAAATCATATACTAGACACAAAATGCTTCCAACTTACAGTGCAAGTAAACTGGAAGAAGACAGGCAAAATGTTGGTTAAAGAGCAAATGGGTTTATTTTATGTAAATTGTGATGATATGTTTCTGCACTTTTTAGCAACAGTAGACATAAATGGGTCGTGTAACACCTTTAAATGAAGATGCATTTTTTGGTATCTTCACAAAAAGATTTTTTTTGGGGGGCCTGGTACTGTTAGAATTGAATAAAGGAATTCCCTGAGATTTGTATTGTCCTCAAGCCTAGCCTTGAGTCTGTGATGCATTGATTTCCTCACATGGGCTATATGATTTCTGTTTGGGAACTAGTATCAGTTTTATTCTGTAATTACAAATGTAATTCCTGTGGGTGATACCTGTAGGTTTACTGTAGATACGTCAGACTGAAAAGCTCTTCAAAACTCTGTGTTTTCCTCCATCTTGCAAAGTTCCACGTGCCCAGAGGGGCTTCAGCAGTTCGGGGGGGGGCTGGATGCTGCTGCCAAAGTGCAGTTTCCAAAGCAGTAACTGTCTTTTGGGTAGGTTTTCTATTCTCCCTAGTGGTAAACCTTGCAGAGAACAGCTTTGACCTGTTTCTATAATATTAGGGATTCAGTAACAGTAACTTCAGTATTAATTTGCTTTGTTTAAAGTAAACTTTGAAAGATCTTATTTAAAGAGATCTTTTCTTTAAGCTTCAGCATATCTGCAGAGCCTCCGTTGAGGCAGAAAGTCAAACCTAGCTCTGCTGTGGACAGAGCTAATATTAAAATGGACATTGACTAAGACATTTGTTCTACATATTTACTACGCTTCTAAGTGTGAAACGTAAATGTTTAATGCTATTCCCTTACTGGGTTGTACTTACAAATTTGTTATTTAACTATTTCTTTTGATTTTCGAAAAAATGTTTAATGTAGTCATATTTGAAATGGGAATGCCTAGGTGCCAATAAAAGTAAAAATCTTAAATAAATTTTTGTAGTCTAATTAGCAGATGAGGCGCTACATGAGCCACAGGTGGCTGGGCAGGCTTTCTTTCTTGTTTTTGTTTTTAACATTTAACTCAAGTGGTTAAGAGATCTGCTTAAAAATCTGTCAATATCAAAGGTCCAGCCCCTTCATTTAAGTGCTGATTAGGCTGTGATTGTTGGGCTATTCAGAAAAAAGAAGAGAAAACTTTCTGGTTTTAAGATTAAAACCCAAGGTATTTTAAAAAGTTTTTTTTTTCTTTATACATTCCAAAATAATAAGCATAAATCTACGTCTTCTCCTTTTTAAGTGACCTTTATAAATTTTCCACAGCATTGTTGTTCTTACTGGGCAATTAGCATTATTTCAGTTTGTCCCTGTTCAGTTTATCGTATTTTGCAGTTATTTCGCAACAGGGTTTGTGCTCAGGGAAGTTGGTCTTCATTTCAGGAAAAAAAAATTGCGATGGTAGTAATCTCAAAAAAAGGGAACTGAGTAAAGTGCTAGAAGTGTTAGCTGCTTTGAGTTAGTGTCACCATTTAACGCCAGCCACCAGTACTGTTTTGCTCAAATATCTAAAACAGCACCATATGAGCCGCTATGAAGAAAATTAACTCTGTCCCAGCCAGGCCAAGTACCGTTAGTAGGAAGTCTGAAGCAGCACGTTTAAGAGTTTAGTCACTCCTGTCAGACTCACCCCTGTCAGACTCCTGTTGAACCCAAACTCTTAGGTGATGCTGGGCAAATGCTTTAAGTATTGGGGTTTTTTTCCCCTCATTGCTGAAGAAGGGCCTCTCCAGCAAGAGAGGGCCATTTGGATTATGTTGCATGTCTCTTGCATAGCTGTATGAAGGCAGACAACATTTGGCCTGTGTTAAAGCCATAGGCTTGTTTTCAGCTAGTGCAGGAAGGTGGAATCTGGTATTTCTGCTGGCAGACTGGGCTGCCTAGAAAATAGGGTTGCAGCAAAAGCAAGGAATGCCAGCATGGAAAGTTTACTGGCAAAAGTTTGGTTTCGGCAAACATGATGTAAGTCAAGATAGTTCAGAGGCATGTTTCAGCATTGCAAGGTGGGACTTTAGAAATGAAGATACATTACTTAGACAGCTTGATGAAAACTGTGGGATGGAAGACAACCCCTAGGTTGACTTAATTGGTATTATTTTAAGCTGAATGAGAATTAAGAGTTACAGCTTCTCTAGAGCTAGAAGTATGGAATAATAGTACTTTCTTTTTTCTGTGCAACAAGATCACTGCAAAATGTTCCTACAATGGGTAGTAGCAAAAAGTTGCTTGTGTAATTGAGAAGACAAGGACTGGAGCCCTGTGCATCCTTAACTATAGCTGTGGTTAAGTGATAAAAATAATAGTAAGGTGTTACTAGTCTCTTTCTTAAATGTGAAATCTAAACTTCTCACGAAAGGTCAGATTTTATGAATTCCTCTTAGGTTGATTCTAATTGGTTGATGCTATTTGGGACATCTCTAGGACTCAGAAGTTTGGGTAAGGGCACTGGAGTCTCATGAAGATGATGTTGCTTTTCCCTGACACTGTAGACCTTTAGAAACTAAAGGTGTCCACTGGGGTGGCTGATAGGACAGAGCAGAAGTCTGTCACTGGGATGTGCATTCTCTTTAAATTTGCTTGCGTGCTGTAGAGCAGAGCTTGCTCCTGTTACTGAAAGCAATCTTGCAAACCTGCATTGGTTTGACTAGGTGTGACTTTGACAGTGGCTGGCAAGTCAAAATGAAAAGTTAGTGTCCAACCTGAATAGTACTCTATGCTTTCTGTTATTATCAAAGGGTTGGGAGAGAAGAGGCTAATTAATTGAAAAGATTTTCAGGGCGGCTGTTGGCAATGCTTTCCGACTTGTGCATATGTGTAAATTTTCCACTGACTACTATTGGTGCATTATGTACAGCCTACAGGATAAATCTATCATTTTTGTATAATGCTTTGAGTAGAGTATCATGCTTATTAGATAACACTAACCATAGGATTCTTCAAAAAAACCAACCTGCAAGTCTGTAAGTGCACCTCCTCTAGCTGACAAAGTCGTATGGGGAGCCAAAGAAAAGGCTTAGAGTTTAGTGTCTGACTTGACTTTATGAACCATCCTAGGTAAATTGCTTAGTGACACTGACCTTTCAGAGGTGATAAACAGTTGTATCATCATTTAATTCTTCTGGGAGTTATGATTGTTTAGCCTCTCTGGAGTTCAACTGCCACAGATTTTTTCAATTCTTTTGCAAAATAAGGGTGCTATTAGCGTTGGTAAAGTTAGTTTTGCTTACAGAACATGTTAAGACTTGTGGAAAAGATGATACTATAACTTGTTACAAATAGGTTGATAAATGCTGCATACTGTTGTAAATAACGCTGAGAAGAAGAATCTGTCAATAACCTGGTATTTTGCTGTAACAGTAGAAAAAAATGAATAATTTCTTCTTGGAAATTTAGTATCAGCTGGCATCTTGTGACCTCTTGATCAATACAGTGTTGTTTTGCTTTCTTAGCACATTGTACTACGGGCTTTGGAATGCTCAAACTTGTTCATATGTCCCTAATTAAGGCAACCAGATCAGAAGTCTCCGTCTAAAGGTTTAATAAATAAGTGTAGTGTGTATATAATGGATATATCAGCTTTAAGATTTATAATTGAAACATTATGTAGGACTCTGCAGACAGATAATAAATTTTTTTTAGTATTTCCTTTGGAATGAAATTCAAGATCATTTAAAAGGTTTTTAAGACCTCTCCAAGCATAACATAGTCATGTGATCTTTGGCTCAGTAAAGCTTTGAGTAAATGAAGTACTACATTATAATATGCATGCTTAGTCACAACAGCAAAATAATGTCAGGAAAAGTGTAACATACTTAACTTTCAGGCAACATGTTTTTCAAAGTGTGTTATTGTGTGGTTTTAAAGTTGGCTGGTCTGACTGAGTGACACAGACTTGACCACAGTAGAAATTATATGCAAGACTGCATACCAAATACATTAGGTAGAAATGTAATCCAGAATTTACAGTTCTGTATCTTGTATTAAAGCTTTTATACGAATGTCTTTCAGCTGTATTTGCTGTGAAAGTATGGCTATTCAGCTGCATCTCTTGTGGCAAACAAGGCTGCTGTTCAGTGTTTTGTATTGTCACTGAAGCCCTAACTAATTTTAATACCCCTCATCCAGAGTGAGTAGTTTTCTCTCTGTGGCTTTAAGGCTTAATTTTCATTCTGTATTTTTCTTCAGGCACTTGTAAGGACAAAGATAAACCTCCGAGCCTCTCTGTCCTTGAGACTTTGAGGTGTACCTTGACAGCTTACCAGAGCAAGCTGGAAGATACGTCTAATGAGGTAACACTTGCACTGTTTGGCTCTATATGTATCGCCTTCAGCCTGCAGCAGTACATATGCTTTGCTTGTAAAAAAGGTCAGAGAGTGGGAATGTTGACTTGACAGCTTCACATATACCCAAAGAAATAATCTCTGTCACTACTATTTCCCTAAGCTTGCCCTACAGTGAAGTTTCACTTACGTTTGGGGGGCAGGGAGAAGAGGTTTTTTCTTTTTTTCTTTTTAGTTTAATTTGGTTTTGTTTTCTTATTAAACCTGTTGGGGTTATTATTTTCAATAAACATTCAGGAAAACAAGCCATTCATATCTAGGCTTTCAGTTAAAAGATGATGATTTAAGAGTTGGGGAGTGTATACAGTGATATTCCTAAATGCACAACACTTGAGCCTCAACAGTCATTGGTATCAGTTCTGTAAATGTGCATGCCCTTGTACATTTAAAAAGTGGCATAATTTTCTGAGATGAGTGTGTTTATGATGAAATCTCTTTTGGTGCTATTTTGAGGTCTTTTCAAGTAAAATAGGACTGTGACATACTGTCTTTGGGTTATCTGAGACAATAATGGAAATATTTGAATTTTGGAAGTCTTACCCTTGAAAAAAATCAAATGTTTTCCATGCAGTCCTACTGGCCTTTTATTTCACTGACTGAAAAGTCACAATCTTGCATTTATGTTCTCATTTGTATTGCTAATGTGATTAAATTAATCCTCTTGGGTGTAAATGTTTTCTGAATTTGTGGCTTTAAAGGCTGTAGAGAGAAGTTAACTGCACTGTTAAAGCTTTCTGTAGAAACTTGTAATTAGCTTATCTTTGGATAAAATCGGCAAATACAGAAAGGCAAGGTGTGATAAGATTGTAAAAAAGGCAGTACTGATTTTTCATTTCTAGGTTTCGTCTTTTGTTTTGACAAATGCATAGTCTAGCTAGTCACTCACGTTTTTTTTAAAAAAAAAAAAAAAAAGAAAAGAAAAAACCAGAAGAAAAGTATATCGGCTTTGCCCCTTTTATTGGGAAAAGACGGTTTCCCGCAAGACCTTTGAGTTTGTTCAACGGGCGCAAAAATAAGTGACCATGGAAACAATTATACTTCTGTAAACAGCAAGCACTGTTAGGTCTCTCCCAGTGAGATAAGAGAACCGATGTGTATAGTCATTATGAAACTCTTTTGAGACCCAAGTCTGGAAGCTGCAGAGTAACTAGGAACGTATTACCCACAGCGAATTGTTATTTGGGAGGAGGAACATCACGTGATAGGCAGCACAGTTGAAAAGTCGACTCAGCAGGCCTTGGCTTAGTGATGTGCTTTGTTGTGAAACTGTGCCAGAGACAGCAGTGGGGAGACCAAGGGGGTGGCTGCTAAGAAAGCAAAGAGAGTATTCTGACAGAAAGAAGAATGAACTGTCAAGGAAAATAAATCGCAAGCAGAGCAGGACCAACTGATGACCTGCCACAAGACTTCCCAGTAGGACTGCATGTGACTGACCCTGAAGTTGTCATATGGAGCCAGAGATCACCGAGCACCTTCATGGTGCACAGAAAGGGCAGTGCTCTGTCCTTCTTGATTACCCCTGCCCCCATAGATAACACTGCTTTTGGCTTTTTATATATTAGATATGTTTAGTAATAAAACTTTTTAATAATACGATAATGCACGAAGGGACTATGAAGGGCACTGTGCAATAAAAACAGGATGTTTTAATACACAGCAGTAAGGGTTTAGTTTTGAGTAATTATGTAGTGGTTCTTTTTACGAGAGATTTTTAAGAAGACCCCACATATTGGTGGAGTTATTAATGTACATGTACACCTGTATGTATGTGTGAAACGTGCTGGTAAACTTGTCATGTGTCACCTTTAACTTACTGTGTTAAACATTAGATTAAACGATCTAGTTCATTTGTGTGACTGAAAGGTGTATAAGTGTTTTGTTTTTGACAGATAACAGGGTTTTGACTTTGTGTATAGTGCAGAGGCTAGAATATGTTTGGGGAGAGAGAGAAGGCTAGTAAACCAACAAAAAGACTGGAAATATTCCAGTAGCATTCTGTAATTTACTGTAATTATTTCTAAGGGTTCTGCCAGGTCTCCTGATTTGAGATCAAACAAAAATATAATTACCAAAGTAATTTGTAAATTTTGTAAATGATATATTTTACTTCTGAGTTGCTCCTTAATGCTCAAGTGCCGGCAGTAACCTGCATTATAATACATCTCTATTCGATGCTTTCTTTCAGACATTTGTATTGCTAACCTCATCATCAGGTAGCCAAAAATATGGATTATAATGATGTGGTGTTATCTTTTTTGAAAGTGGAAAGTGAAGCTAGTACACATTATGGTCATGAGCTACCTCTAAGGTGCTTGCTTGTAACACCACAAACAGTTCAGTAGTCACCATGCCTCTTGGGAACATTGCTGCTTTTTACGGGTATGTGAGTACTATCCAGCACTCAGTAAAAAGTAGAGACCACGCTCGTAGTTGGATAACTTCTGCGAATGGCCACTGACTTTGAAATCTTGTTTTCTCAAACCACTCCCCAGATCATAATCTGAATTTATTACTTTTTCAAATGCATTTCAAAGTCTGTGTTTTTGTCAGTATTTTGAGAGTTGATGGGAAAGTTAATAGTGGACTCAGTTTGGGATTCTGCCACTGCTATTTATCTTAAATCATTATAAAAGAGTTATTTAGTGCTTTTGTAATGGCACATTATTTAGATTGTACACAGTATAAATATTTTCAAAGGAATTGAAAACAATTTTTTCCTTACATTTATATACAAAATTTTTCCTTTATGTTCAAGGGATTATGTAGCCTTTCTGTTTGACTTCCATATTTTTCACAGCTTGGGAAAATGAAGGCTTTGTGTGAAAAGATGACAAAAGAACTTGAGATATCCAAAGAGAAAATGTGTGCTTTAAATCAAGACCTTAAGGTATGGTTTCGTGAATTTAACATAAAATTTGAAAGTTTTGCAAAAAATATCTTTCGGGATTTAAGGCATCTTTTTTTCTTATCAGAATAAGTCTCTGTATCATTGTATTCTGTTGAGCAGACTGGTTTACCTTGTATGCTGCTTTATTCTGGTTAGCACCTTAGACTACATAACTGATCATTTCAATGATTGCACTTCTGAAATAATTTGAAATAGATTTATCAATTTGCAGAGTATTGTTTTACATTGAAATCAGCATCAGTAATTTTTTTTCTCTTAACTGTTTTTCTCAAGAAAAGGAGAAGAGAGTTTAATTACCTCTGTTCATATGAAAACACATTTTACTAACGCTATCCTTTACTTTGTTAATTTTTTTTGATGTTTGTGTTTATCAGACAAGTTAATGCATGGTTAATGCAGGTCATCCTTAACAGTTGTACAATGTGCAGCCCAGAATTTCTTAGAGTAAAATCTACCTGGGAACTGATAAAAACACTTGAGAACTCTTTTCTTTAGTTTTTGAACAAGAATTTTTTTTTTGTCTCTGTTTTTGGCTGACACACCACTTTTGTAATGTCCTGTCTGGTTACATCAGTGGCCAAGGGAGTGAGAAGTCCTGAGGTCATGGTTAAACTTAATCTCCCAACTGGCAGTGTATTATATTACTGCCAAAATAGAATGTCTCTACTCCCAGTGTTTCTCAGATTCTGTTGCTGGGGATATGCTGCTTTATCGCTTCAGTTTAGTCACAGATACTTCTGCAACACTCATTGAATTTTCGTATTAATTGATACTTGCACATGATCTCCTGTCATCTGATCTGAACTTTCTTTAGTAATTTATGTTAAGAAGACTTAAGACTTCTGCTTCTGTTGCAGCACCTTTGTAAGGCACCTAAAAATTTTGCAACCCATTGCAATAGATACTTGTATTCTTCATGCAAAAACTGAGTTTGCTACACACAGACGGTGCTGGTTTTTATGCAGTACACCAGTTTCTGATCTCTTTAAATTTTTGGTAATAAAATCGTATACATGAGTGAAAACTTGATCCAGTCTGAAAACATTTGTGTTAGAAATTTAACATCGCTTTAATCTTCTAATATTTTCATTAAGAAAAATAGAAGTTGTTACTGTGTGATGAATTGGGAGTATCTTTGCTCTTATATTTCCTATATAAACAGCTGTGATTTTATGAAAAACAAACCTTTAGCAAACTTCAGCAGTGCTGGAAGTCCAGTGCTTGTAGGAGAGGAAAGCATGTGTATTTGTCCACTCCATCTCAGCAATCTTTTGGCTGAAATGGGTAGTGTATTAAGTTCTTTGTTTACCTTGTGAGATTTGGTACTGGTAACATATTGATTGTATTTATGACCATTTCTGATTATTAGTTTCTTCCTGTGGTCAAACCTCCAAAGAGAGTCTTCACATTTTTTTATCATGCAGATAAAGAATACAGTGGGTAACAATGGCTGTCTGTGTTGCCTACCGACTCAGCTGTAATGGATCAGAGATTTACTTGTGAAGATAATGTATCTTTTCACTAGCTCTGAGAACTCTCCACTCTGCAGAGGATAACTTGCATCCTTGCATTCTGCATCTCAGTTGTGGGGGTAGAGGGGATTCCAAAGGTCACTGCATCATGGAGCTTTTGACTCTCAGAGATGGATTTCTGATGCTGACTAGTTACAAGCTGTCGAGAAGGACTATTGTCAATTTTGAAATTCTATTATTGATGAGATACTGTCAGCTTAGCCTGGAGTCTTCTGAACACATACGGCTATATGACTGTTTGCTTCCTCAGATGCTGAGCACTGGACTAAAGTAACATTTTATAGAGTAAAATTCTTACTAGCCTTTCTGTTCCATGCCTCTGTTCTACAGGAAGCTCAGGATAACCTGGCTGATGCCAATAAAGAGTTAAATCATCTGCACACTAAGTGTGCAGACAGAGAGACTTTAATAGGAACTTTAAAAATGGAACTACAGAATGTACAGCAGTGCTGGGAGAAGGAGAAAGTACGTGCCACAGAATCTGAGAATGAAATCCAGAAGCTTACCAGGGCTTACCAGAAGGATATGGAGGTATTACCAGAGACAAGATGAGTGTCAAAAAGAGTCTTTGTTTAATCTCAACTTTATACATTTACATACATCAGATGGTTACTGTTGGTCTTAACAGATTTATCCCCAAAACGTGATTTTAAGATATGTATTTGAAATATGTATTTAATATCTACAAGATCTCAGGACATACTGGTTCTCCTTCCTTCTATATCATAGAATCATAGAATGGTTTGGGTTGGAAGGGACCTTAAAAATCACTTAGTTCCAAGCCCCCTGCCGTGGGCAGGAACACCTTCGACTAGACCAGGTTGCTCAAAGCCCCATCCAGCCTGGCCTTGAACACTGGATGGGGCATGGCATCCACAGCTTCTCTAGGCAACCTGTTCCAGTGCCTCACCACCCTCATAGTGAAGAATTTCTTTCTTATATCTAATCTAAATCCACCCTCTTTCAGTTTAAAGCCATTACCCCTTGTCCTATCACTACATGCCCTTGTAAAAAGTCCCTCTCCAGCTTTCTAGTAGGCGCCCCCCAGGTACTGGAAGGCTTCTATAAGGTCTCCCCGGAGCCTTCTCTTCTCCATGCTGAACAACCCCAACTCTTTCAGCCTGTCTTCACAGGAGAGGTGCTCCAGCCCCCTGACAATCTTCGTAGCCCTCCTCTGGACCTGCTTCAACAGGTCCATGTCCTTCTTATGTTGGGAGCCCCAGAGCTGAACGCAGTACTCCAGGTGGGGTCTCACAAGAGGGGAGTAGAGGAGGAGAATCACCTCCCTTGACCTGCTGGTCACGCTTCTTTTGATGAAGCCCAGGATACAATTGGCTTTCAGGGCTGCGAGCACACATTGCTGGATCATGTTGAGCTTTGCACCAACCAGCACTCCCAAGTCCTTCTCCTCAGGGCTGCTCTCAATCCATTCTCCACCCAGCCTGTATTTGTGCTTGGGATTGCCCCGACCCATGTGCAGGACCTTGCACTTGGCCTTGTTGAACTTCATGAGGTTCACACAGGCCCACCTCTCAAACCTGTGAAGGTCCCTCTGGATGGCATCCCCTCCCTCCAGTGTGTCGACTGCACCACACAGCTTGGTGTTGTTGGCAAACTTGCTGACTGACATGTCACGTCACTGACAAAGATGTTAAACAGCACCAGTCCCAATACTGACCCCTGAGGAACACCACTCATCACTGATCTCCACTTGGACATCGAGCTGTTGACCGCAACTCTTTGAGTGTGACCATCCACCCAATTCCTTATCCATGGAGTGGTCCATCCGTGAAATCCATGTCTCTCCAATTTAGAGACGAGGATGTCATGCGTCCGGACAGTGTCAAATGCTTTGCACAAGTCCAGATAGATGACGTCAGTTGCTCTTCCTTTATCCACCAACGCTGTAACCCCATCGAGAAGGCCACTAAATTTGTCAGACACAATTTGCCCTTAGTGAAGCCATCCTGGCTGTCACCAATCACCTCCTTATTTTCCATGTGCCTTAGCATAGTTATCAGGAGATCAGCTCAAAGATCTTGCTGGGCACAGACGTGAGACCGACTGGCCTGTAGTTCCCCGGGTCTTCCTTTTTTCCCTTTTTAAGAATGGGGGTTATGTTTCCCCTTTTCCAGTCAGTGGGAACTTCACCGGACTGCCACGACTTCTCAAATACGATGGATAGTGGCTTAGCAACTTTATCCACCAATTCCCTCAGGGCCCACAGACAGATCTCATCAGGTCCCATGGACTTGTGTACCTTCAGGTTCCTTACATGGTCTTGAACCTGATCTTCTCCTACGGTGGGCGGCTCTTCATTCTCCCAGTCCCTGCCTTTGCCTTCTGCGGCTTGGGCGGTGAGGCTTGAGCACTTGCCGGTGAAGTCCGAAGCAAAAAATTGAGTACCTCAGCCTTCTCCGTATCCTGGGCAACCAGGTCTCCCGTTTCATTCCGGAGAGGGTCCACATTTTCCCTAGTCTTCCTTTTATCCCTGATGTACCTATAGAAGCTTTTCTTGTCGCCTTGGCCAGATTTAATTCTATCAGAGCTTTAGCTTTCCTAACCTGATCGCTGGCTGCTCAGACAATTTCTCTGTATTCCTCCCAGGCTACCTGTCCTTGCTTCCACCCTCTGTAGGCTTCCCTTTTGTGTTTGAGTGTGCCCAGGAGCTCCTTGTTCATCCATGCAGGCCTCCTGGCATTTTTGCCTGATTTCCTCCTGAGCTTGGAGGAGGTGATCCTTGAATATTAACCAGCTTTTTTGGGCCATTCTTTCTTCCAGGGCATTATCCCATGGTACTCTACCAAGCATGGATAGAAGAGGCCAAAGTCTGCTCTCCTGAAGTCCAGGGTAGTGAGCTTGCTGTGTGCCCTCCTTGGTGCTGTAAGGATTTTGAACTCCACCATTTCATGGTCACTGCAGGCAAGGCTGCCATTGAACTCCACATTCCCCACCAGTCCCTCCTTGTTGGTGTGAACAAGGTCCAGCATAGCACCTCTCCTCGTTGGCTCCTCTACCACTTGGAGAAGGAAGTTATCATTAATGCATTCCAGGAACCTCTTGGATTGCTTATGCCCTGCTATGTTGTCCCTCCAACAGATACCGAGGTGGTTGAAATCTCCCCATGAGGACCAGGGCTTGTGAACGTGAGGCTGCTTCTATCTGTCTATAGAGGGCCTCATCCGCTCAGTCTTCCTGGTCGGGTGGCCTGTAGCAGACCCCCACCGTAATGTCAGCTGTCCCTGCCCTCCCTTTAATCCTGACCCACAAGCTCTCGGTCGGTTCCTCATCCATCCCCAGGTGGAGCTCCATGCACTCCAGCTGGTCATTGACATAGAGGGCAACACCCCCGCCTGGTCTCCCCTGCCTGTCCTTCATAAAGAGCCTGTATCCCTCCATCCCAACTCCAGTCATAGGAGCCATCCCACCACATCTCTGTGATTCCAATAAGATCGTTGCCCTGCAGGCGTGCGCACATCTGTAACTCCTCTCATTTATTCCCCATGCTACGTGCATTTGCATAGAGGCATTTAAGTTGGTCCCCCGATGAAGCTGTCCTACTGGCTGGAGTGGCTGGAGTTCCTTTGTGCTGCTCTTCAGGTGCTCTCCTGCTGACCTGTGACCATTCTCCAGATCCTTCTCTATCAGAATTAATAGCTTAACCCTTCCAGTATTGTGAATTTTTGAACAACTGAGTTTATTTAAAGAGCTACGTCTGACAAACAATTATTTCTTTCTTTCAAATTGAAAGTTAACAAAAATGTTTTACAATTGGAACATACAATAGTACCATCATCATGTGTTGTTAATTACTGATTCACATGGCAATTGATAGATAGCAAATGTAGAATTGAGGTAGTTTCGCCTGTGTGCCACAAAACCTAGAAATTCTTATTTGTCACCTGTTAGCTCATTGTGGTGTGTTATACGTGGGAATTGCTTCACAAAGTCTTACTTCAGAACTATTCTCTCTCTCCTTATATTTGTTTACAGATGTTAATTTTGTTGCTTTTTTCCCCAGTAAAGCAGTTCTGTACTAGAACAGCAATGATATTCTTTATCATAGTTGTGCATATTGAGCTCATTACTTCCACAAATTTGGACATGGATGCCAACTGAGTAAAAAGGAAACATTCTTTCCACCTCTTTTGCAGCCTGGTATTTAAATAGTGTCCACATGAAGCAGCTGGAATTGTTATACACATCAGATAATGATTAGAGTGAAGGAAACTAGAAGCCTGGCTATATTGTAAAGTCAGCATGTCTACAACACTGTGGTTGCGTTCAACATGTGTGAATTGATTTTGGGTCTTGGGATCCCTTTTTTCATGCCAAATGGATAATTATCATCCTTGGTTTATCACAGCTCAAGCAAAAATGTAATGATTATGGCACACTGGATTTTCCTTGGGGAATTAGGAGATCTGCTAGGAAAAAAGTCAAACTGAACTAAACTAGAATTTTTTATTGCCTAAAATACCATGAAATAATTGTGAGAAAATGCACCTAAGTATAATGGAAAGGGCTCAGAAAAACCATAGTTCCCCATTTCGGTCATCCGCAAAGTCTTGATGTAAAGCCCCTGGAAAACAATGGGAACCTTTACAGTGGTTTACAGGCTTTGAATAAAGGCTCTGTTTTTCATGGCTTTTGAAATAGAGCTTTCTCTTTTTGTCTTAATCAAAGTCGCTAAGTTGCATATATGTACTAAAAGGATGAAGGCTGGAATTTCTGTGGCATGCTGTTGTTGCTAAAGTTTATTTATAACTTGCATCGATTTATTATACTACTGACTAAAATCAGTTTAAATGAATGAGTTATGGCTTGTGGAATTTAACTGATGAAGCTATAAGCCTATTTTGTCTAGCTAATTTAGTCATACATAATCTACACAAAAACCATTTTAAAAATTGTTAAGACTTTAGAGTGATAGTTGTATAAACAGTGTGTTGTGCTGCCAAGCCAATCAGACAATTTTCTGCATGCTACGCAGATATTGGAAATGAGTACAATTTGAATGTACCTGAAAGTGTTAACATGAATGATTAAATTGCATCTACTAATAGCACAGAAATTTTTATCTATATCAGGTTATGGTTGTGACGACTGCAGGACTGGGCTTTCTTTATTTATATGCTATGTCTAATTAGACAAATTTTGTGGAAACTGTTTTCTTAATCTGATTTTAATATGTATGACTGCAAATATTAACCATACTGCTTTTGAAAAGGTTTGAGAATGAGCTTTGTGGGTTTTTTTCAGCTGCATGCAGCTTACATTACTACACATATGATGCATCTCTTTGGATTCTAAGACTGTTCAGATACAACTGTTAATTTTTCTTTTTTTCTCAGGAGAAGCTAACCTTCCTCCATAGCTTATACCAGCATTTGGTAGCAGGCTGTGTGCTTATAAAACAACCAGAAGGCATCCTAGATAGATTCTCTTGGTCTGAGCTTTGTGCAGTCTTGCAGGAGAATGTTGATGCCCTGATCTTAGACCTCAACAGGGCTAATGAGAAGGTAAGTGTCCTTAGGCACCAGCTACCTCTATTAAATTCAGTGACATTTGTCCACATCACAGTATCATTAAAAAGGACTGACATTCATCTTATTTCAAAAAGAATTTGGACGTTAATAATTCAATACCATTAATTATGGCTTGTCTGCAACTCAGTTTGATGCCATTGCTGTGGGCATGTAAATGTGACTGAAGTCTGTATGAAGTCTCTAAGCTCCACTTTCTGTGCAGGACATGCTAATAGTACTAGCCAATATTAGCCACAGGGACCTAATTAAAACAAAATAAATTAATCTTACTGATGAAGCAATTCAAAGAACTTAGTCATTTACACTAATAAAGCAAGTCTTTATTTTAGCATAAAGCAGAAACAAAATGCACTTACTCCAGGAACATCATTTTTAAATTATACGTTTATGATTCAGAGGTATGATATCTGAAAAAATGCCAGTGTGGTTTTTTGATTTAATTGTAACTTTTGGAGTACGAAATTTGTGTTCAGAAATACAATAGAAAATACTTATTTTTATAAAACATGTCAATATTTGTTTAAGGGAGAAGCTGTACTTTTCTGAATGGTTTTAATGTGAATAAGCTTACATGGCCTTTCTCCCCAGAAATCCCTGAGTTTTTAGGAAAGAAAAGACCTCTTTTTAAATAACTTAAACTGGCTTCACAGACTAACATATGGCACTCTTTAGGATTTCAGTTCATGTTCTGGCTCCATTGACCAGGCCAGTCCTACAGTCTTAGTACAGCAACTCCACATCTTGGCTGCCCTGACATTTTGTTCTTGAGGCATAGGAAGGGAAAAGCTTTTTTGGATGTTTCTCATCTGCTGGAATTGTGACCACTCTTCTGGCCTGAGTAAGGGACAGGGCTGGTTACAGTGAATCATTTTTACTCTGCCCATCATTTGGTAAATAACCCAGCAGTCAATGGAAATTACTAAAGAGGGATAGTATAAAATAAATTCTGGGATACACGTTGGGTGTACATCTTTATTTTCCTTTTGAAATAAAGGAGGAAAGGGAATGGAAGGGAAGGGAGTGAACATTGTTGGCAGTGTTTGGGGGGGTTGTGTCTTATTGTTTCTTGCTTTTTAATTTAGTATGGTTACTGAGATTGATTGTGCAGTCTCTAGGGCTCTTTTCATGTACTTACCAGCTTTTCAGGGATTTGGGGCAGTGTTGTTACCTGTGTTGTACCTGCTTTCTGAGAACAAAATTTTTCTGCAGTTTTGTGTGATCTATTTAGAAGGTATCTTGCTGATATTCTCTAGTAACGAAGTGTAGGCATGTGTATTTAGAGGTCATGGTTAGCTCGATTCATTACTCCATTTAGTTTGCATGGGAGCTGCAATGTTAAACCACAGAGTGAATACCTTCATGCTTCTTGAAAACACATCGTAAACTAATGAGCTACTTGTGAGAAAAAAATTTCCTGAAATTATTTGAGTACTTAATAATATATGGAACGTCTTGGCTTTCCAATAAAACAAAAAATAAAATTAAGGGCTGTTTCTTCATTATTACTTGCAATCCTTGCAAACTGCTAAAGGACTGGTATACTCAGATTACTAATTTAGCAGCACCAGGTTTAATGCACTTGTTTCAAAAAAATATGGGAAATAGCCAGTTCAGGTTTCCAACAAAGAAGGCAACAGATATCTGCAAGGTGGTATAAGGATGGCAAAACTGAAACCAAGGAAAATGTATTATTCCAAAATATGTCTCAGTTTTGTTGCAAGATTCAAGTAAGTAATCTGTCATGAAAGGCTTTTACTTAGTTTTAATAAATATTTTGAAGAAATTACAGTTTTGATTTTGTGTTGGAATAGTCTGTGCCTAAATTAATATGTACAATTAAAGTAAAAAGGTATTTTGAGAAGTAAAATAATTTCTTTTTAAATCCTTGTCAAACAGATATCTCACCTAGAATATATTTGTAAGAACAAGTCTGATACTATGAAGGAGCTTCAGCAGAGCCAGGAAGATGCTTTTAGCAAAATGGCTGAACAGATGAAAGCACAGCAAAGCTGTTGGCAGAAACAAAAAAAGTATCTGGAACAGCAATACTCAGGTCTCCTTGGGGAAGTTCATGCAAGGGCACAGGTATGGTGCTGTGAACTTCTGGGTTTTTTTTCTTGTAAATATTTAATGAATTATTTTGGTAGTTTAAGCTCCTAATCAATTTAAGTTTTTTTTTGAATTTTAATGTATCTTTAAAATAAAAAAACCCCAACACTCTGCTAGTATTAACTTTATTTATAATAAGAAATAAATGACTTTGTGAAAACATTCCAGAAATGAATTGCTTAATTTGGTCTAGCAGTTGCTAGTGGGTTGTTTTTTTTTTTTTTTGAGATGTTAAAGCTGTAAGATTGAAATTGCTTATTTTAAGAATTATATGGGGCAGCAGTTACTTTTTCAGTGTCATGCTTTGCAAAGACTCGGTAGAGTAACAGTAACGTGGTGTCATCTGGCGATAAATTTAGGTATATACATTCTGACCTTAAGAATCAATTAGCAGTTGCAGTGGTAGATTTCAACAATATTAAAGGACTTCGTTATACAGATACTACAGCGAGCAATGGTTCAAAAGTGTAAAACTGTCATCGCTGGTTGTTAGAAAAGTTATCTGCAATCTAAATTGCAATCTAATATGTAATCTAAAATTTTCACTGTTATTCTACAACTACAATCCATTGTCTTTCAGGTCACATTCCTTTACATGTGTTTCAGTTAAAAGTGTTGTGAAATACACGAAATAAGATATGCCTTGTTATTTGTGACTGCCATCAGAAGAATGCTGTATTTGACTTAGATTTTGGGCTTGGAAGCCTTTGCACTCCGAAAAATGTATTTATGAAGTATTCTTTAGACAGAGCAATTTATAGTAATTTCTTGGGAATGAGTTAAAATCTTGTGTATATTATTTGCTTGATATTTACATTTCACACAGGATATTGGCAATGCTAAAAACATCCCTATGAGTGGAGTAAGTGGCATCCAGACTTATACTAATTTCCCCCAACATCCTGTAGTTTCATCTTATGAAATCATTGCCAACAAAAAGAATGAAGAAATGAGAAAGCTTAATTTGAATTTTAAAAATTACTTTTCTTTCCTAAAGAAAAAGAGGATTTACACAATATAGATTTCTACCTCTTATGGATGCTGCAGAAAAGAAAGGTCTGAGTCATCTCTTTCAGAACTACAGCGTATTGTGGAGAATTGGTGCTGTGCAGTACTGCGCCATTCTTCAGGGTGGCGCTGAACCTACCAGTCTCCTCAGCTGAATTGTGTAGACAGCAAGCAGTGTATGTACTAAAAACATGGCTCTCTTTTGTGAAGCGTGCATTAGGCACGTCGTCTGGAAAAGGCTTTATCTGTCAACTTGCTGTACAGGACTACTCGGTTTCTAAAAGGGAGATGCTTTCCCTTAGAAACATCTGGGTATGTTTTCTAACACAGGTTATGTAGTGTTGGAGTAATAGCTGCTGGTATTGTAATCTAGGCAGCACAATGTCTGTATACACTTGGATGATTCAACAAAACTGTCTCATCTTTTTTCCATCCTGGGTTGCAATTTGCCTTACTTACCATTCAGTGTCAATCTGGGAAGAGGACAGTCTAATTTCTTCTGGATTTCTAATTTGTGCCTTACTTTGGAACTACAAATACCAAATTAAGCCTTTCCCTTTCTTGGATCCGCAGGGTCCATGGATGTCTGCTGTTAGGGCTGTCCGAAGCGTGATTGCTTGTTTTTTGTAAGACTTGACTGTCTTTTACATATTGCATTTTGAGCCTGTTAGCCATATTTGTCTGCAAGATCACAGCTCTGTTGGATCGGAGGTGTGCAGACAGACTAATGTTGTAGCCTTATTTCCATAGGAAACAAGGAAAAATGTGCCACCATTTATGGAATGTCTTCAAAGGGTCTTTTAGAGATTACTGAGGGCCAGTGTTTACATAAAGATACAGAATGCAATATTTAAATTTAATTCTTTTATAGGCTTTATTCATTAAACTTTATAGGAAACATATAATCAGTGTAAGCGGAATATAATTTGCCAGTATTCTGTATTTCATTGTAGAACTGTGGGTCTCATCACTCTAGGACATTTATTCCAGCACTACAAGGAAACTGTAGCAATTTGCTGTATTTTCCATCCAGAGATCTGAGTGTTAATTACAAGCAGTTTAATGAACTAATCCCTTGTAGGTGTTAGTTCCTTTCTGGAAAGGGAGGATGAGTGATTTTTGCTGTCCTGCACCAAGCTAATGGTACGTCGTAGGATGCATTCTTATGTTCGTAACTTTGTCTTCAATCAGTGTTCCATGCTGCCTTCTAGACATTTTCTCCTCAAAACTCCTGGGTTGAGACTTCTTTAATTTTTCCAATTGTCGGTACATGTGCAAAGGCAAACTGAAGACAATCAATTCGGACTCTCAGGAGTTAACTGAGAGCTCTAACTGCACAGCAATATGAGTAATGTATCTTGGAAATTATTATTTTGGTTTCTTAGAACTGCAGTAGAGAGTTAGGGCTTTTCAGAACGGTCTCCTTATGATTAAAATGTAACATTGCAAAATCTGGAGGTTTTAGTAGCAATGACACCTGCCACTGCTTCTGTTCCCAGCCAGTACTGTTCAGGGTCCCTGACTCCAGGGTAGGATCTATGGATGTTAATAGGTACTACTTCACAGCTGCTACTGTAGGTCAGATGGATGGTGTAATCAGAAAGCAGTCTCACTGTTTTTCTCTAGGGCAGAAATTCCCAGAGTGGCCTTATCACAGATCAGCAATAAACAAGGCATTCTATAGATATCGCTCTTCTTTGTCCATGGTCTCCATGTTTGGAGAGTCAATGGCGCTTAAAATGCATATCCTTTTTCCTTGCCTTTTGTAGCAGGAGTACAGTCTTCTTGATCTGATAGTGTGCCATTTTGAAAAAGTTACTACGCCTGTTCCTTAGCCTCACACAAATTGTTTATTCAGACTGTGCACAGTCTCATAGGAAATGTCCTCTGAATTTTAACTATCAGTTGTTTTTTTTTTTTATTACGTAGACGTTTATTAATCTGTCCCCATTTTTTGTGGCAACCACTTAAAATAGCAAGGTTTTGTTCTGATATGTAAGAGAAAAATTCTGTAACTACTTTAAAAATGTTAAATTCAACAGAAAAATAAAAGCTTTGCTAAATAGGAAAGGGAAAAAGTCCTCCAGGGAGGAAAAAAATGTCTTTTCTCATACTGGCTTTTTTTTTGTTTGGAAGCCTTGCTCTTACAGCAAGGCAGGTGAATTAGCTAAAGGCTGTGGTATCTTGCAATTGTATCAAAAGTCAGTGCAATCACTGCAAAAGGAGGAGAAGTACGTGTAACTAAACTGTTCCTGACCCACCGGGTCTCTTTGATGGATGTGTCTGGCCCATGTACTTAAAACACAAGGAAGAAATAGAGGACAGTGATGTTGATGATGTTTATTTAGATGTATAGATGTATGTATTTAGAAAAAGAAAACAACTGAAATACCGGAAAACCTTTTGAAGTCATAGTGTCATTATATTTCTAGTTTCCAGTTCTGTTTTCATGCCGGAATAAAGGGTAAGGACCCAGTAAGAAGTAGGATAAAGTAGCGTTGCTAGTAGCACCTGATTTTTTGTTAAGGATTCTTGGAATCCACCAGGTTCTGCAACCCAGTGAGCTGTCCCTCAAACCTCAAACACTGAAGGAAGCCAGCTTGCCAATGTTTAGGAAGAGAATTCTATGTCCCTTTCAAAAACTGGGCTTTTAAGCTTTGAAGAAAACACTAGAAACAGTGTGGAGTAAGACAAAAGCAGTTATTAGCCAGTAAAAACAAGGTGTATTTTCATACAAAACTTTTACATTTCTGTAGTCAGAGATTGTCTTGTTCACTTTTGCATATTACCATATAACCATAAGTGTAAAAACACTAAGCTTTTTTAAAAAATAAGCTTTAATTAGCCAGAGCACTGAATGTTAGTATTGCTGCCCAACAGCCCTGTAGGGATCACACTTTGTTTTCTCAGATATTGGCCTTTCACCTGTGATGACCAGAAACCATAAGCTGTTTTCTAAGTTCAGCTTACCTTTTCAGTTCCTTCTAGTCATGCTATCAGGGTTTTTTTTCTGTAAAAATCAAACACTGTAAATAATGCAGTAGCACTGAAAGTATTGTACATGTTTATACTTAATTTTAGAGTAGTAAAGTGACATATGAGGCCTGTAAATTGCATTTTGTAATTAAATCTTTTAGTTACCTACTTTATTTTTGTATCAGTGAAAGTATTTTGATAACACTACAAATTCGTCCTCTTGCCAAAAAAAAAAAAATTTATTTGGTCAAAGATGTTCTAAACTGACTAGGGTACATCTCTATAGAAGCATGGAATCTTTTATTTCCATTCTAGGGATAGCTATGTTTTTTTTTTTCTTCCCCTGTTGTGCTTGCAGGATGGAGGAGGGAGAAGAAACTAGGGTGCCCCTCTCACCACTTGCTTCGGACCTGTACCAAATAAAACACATGGGAATGTGGCTGGATGACACCGTTTTACTTCTCTTTTGGCCGCTGCTAACAGAAATAAGCTCACCCCATTTTTAACAAAATTGATTATAGCTCTAAGAGAGGTAGCTGAAGCTTAGCATAATCCTCTCTTTTCTTCATCATACAGGCTTGTCATTCCATTCATGTTTACTTTTTTGTGTCCATGTATTGTAACTGGAGCGTAAGCATTTAACTTGAGCTTGTGGATTCATTGTGAACAATGCCTAAAATTTATTATCTGCTTATACCACCGGGTCCTGTTTAAATGTAGCCTGAAGTGGTTGTTCCAGTCACAGAGGACTCTCATGCCTCAAGAAGTCAGTCTAAGTCTCTGAGGTCTCAGCGTAGTGTCTTGATCCGTGTACAAGAACTGCATGTTATCAAAAGTAACTAGTATGCATGGTCTAACCTTAGTCCTGGCATTCCCTGGCTTGTTAGTGTCTTCATTTTGCTACA